AGAGAATAGACAGAGGGGAGAGAATGGGAGGTAGTGGAAGGAATTTAGGGTTTGGAGCCTGGAGGGAGGGGGGTGTACGTATAGGTTGATGTATAGTATTATTATCAAATGTTAATTTATATTAATTATAAATTAAAACCTTATTTCTGTATAATTAAACTTGATTCCTTATTTATGAAAATGGAAATCTAAAAACCTTTCTAGGTGTAATTTCCTCAAAATCCAATGGCTACTAGCGTCACTAATTCTAAATTTCTTAAATTGTTACCTTAGTTTCAAAATTTTCGCCTTACTTGTAGCGTTTTTCCCACAATATGATTCCTTTAGAAAAAAAATAAAATTAAAGATTTTGTCCTTAACTTTCAAAGGGAGGAGATTTCGGGATTTATATATGCCTTGATATTCTTGTTAAAAGGTGGGTTAAAATTTTCAATGGTAATTGTACTTTTAACGTTGTTTTCTAACAGTTTTGAACTTTTAGATTTTTCTGAATAGTCCCTATACTCTCAATATTACTTATATTTCCATTTACCTTATTTTTTAATCACACATTCTCCAAAAAATCACTATTCCAAAATATATTTTTCTCCAAAATCTATTTTTAATGGAGCCCAAACAGTCACTCTACGAGAGCATACTACAAACCCAAAAGTGCAAGACAGAAACAAAGTGAACTTTGTATTAATGCACCCACGTTATAGATTGAACATATTAATATTTATCATCGGATTTACAAAACTCAACTCAAGCATTACAATCCAAAAAAGAGATGTCTATATTCGCTCTCGCTCGCATTTAAACTTTGCTTACAAGCTCAAGCCACAAGTCAAGTAGTGGAGATCAAGAACCTAGGGCTTTGGCTCAGAAAGACTCGGGTGTTCCAGATACAACTGCAAACCAAGAGGTTCACTGTTCATGGACTTAATAGGAGTTATTACAGGAAGTTGCTGCCACTGCCTTGTGTCTGTTGGGATCCACATTTCTGCATCTTTGATGGTACTAGTCTGAGGCAGAGAGCGAAAATATGCTGTTATCTCCCATCTGCAATCTGTCAAAGAACAAAAACAAAGAGAGCGCCAATATCAAAAGATATATCCAGAAGAAGCAGAATGTATTAACAGTTCAGCGAAAAATACTGAAACAAATGATCACATTTTGCACCCAAGCAGTTAAATTGATGTAATGCGTCTGTCTAAACAAAGTCAACCAAGCCTTTTGCTAGTGTACCCAATTTAACCAACCAATTGTCAAAGTTAAGTTGTGAAATAGTGTTACTAATGTTTACATTGGATTAAGATTTGAACTACTAGGATTCCAAATCCAAAACCCAAATGTGTTGGTTGCGGTGAAAATCACCAAGGATTAGCAGTTTCCTTTTATGGAGTATTGAACTTTATTTTACTCCAAAGTTGGTGTTATAAGAAGTCAATGGTCATTCTTGCTCGTCACCATGTAACTCGTGGATTGTTAATCAGTAATCCTTATTAGATCCAATCCTAACATTAGACAATTAAAAAAAGTTTAAAAATTCAAATTTCTTCAATTTTTTGTACGCGCTTGCAGCAAGGATTGTAGGTCATACTAGCACTTTGAACTCCATTTCATCTGTAAAACCTATTGCTGCTGACTTTTTCTAGTTCAGTTGCAGTCTGCTAATGTTTCACACTTCAATTATTACATTGAATTTATTAGTGTTGAGAAGACATTGGTAACAAGGGAACATTAAGGCAATAACTCAGTAAGTTAATATATGGCATGATGCAAGAAAAGCTGCAAATGTTTGTGCTTACTGCGGGGAAGAACCTTCGTCATAGGTTCTGACACAGGCAATTTGATCAAGAAGGATCTAAGAGAGAACTCCAGGTCAGCTTGTTCAACTTTTGAACCATGTGATTGATTCACGTTAAGCTTGAAGACAAATCTCTCAATTGGCACCTTATCGTCTTTAAAGAAAATAACAGCAACTCTCTCCACCAAACCCTAATTGGTAAGGGAAATTTTTTTCAAAAGCTTCAAGAAAATTCAATATAGCACACCACGCAATACAAATATAGCTTTAGAAAAAAAAATACTCCTACTTTTTGGATGAAAGGGAGGAGTCCATTAACAGCAGAGCGAATGTATTCATTAAGCTCAGGGTGTCTAGCCTTATGAACCACCAAGTTCATGTATCTCCGCCTCTCAAATGCTCCTACATATACGCGTATACTGGTATAGCAATCCATTTATCGAATAGCACAAAATGAATTTTAAAGCAGCCACTACTCACTAGAAATATTTAATAAGGTGGAATTATCGATCTGATTTTTTATAACATTGTTCTTACCGTTTGGATAAACTCCTTTGAGAAAAACAATAGAGGTGATGGCCACCTCCAGGAATTCCACGAGAATCTGAGCACTTTCCCCTGCAATTTAGCAACTATTAGAGAGAAAAAAAGAATAATAAGAATTAATGAAGGGTGTCCAGTTGGAATTTTGATGATGAAGAACCAACCTTGTGGAGTTTGATTATCTTTGCGATCCATTTCCAGGATTCTGTAGTCTGTCTCAGACAGAAATTTTGCTCGTACGCATTTACTGCAGGAAATTGAAGAACTGGTGATGCTACATGAAGCAATTGCACATAGGGCATTTATTACACAATCAGAACTATAGTATAATTAGTCACATTTGTCGTGTGTGTAATGCATCAGTTTTGTAAAATGTACCAATCTCAATTTGATCGTCTTCAATTCATAATATAACTTCTTTATACAATACTTGGGTAGTACCATATGAATAGTTTCTGGGCACGCATGGAACACGTTACAGAATAAAATTCATGCAAATGGGATTTTACAATTCAAGATTTTTTGCCCGGGAGCTTTTAATGTATAAATCTTCAACCACTGCTCTAATATTTTCTTTACAAGTTCTATTCACAGAACTTCTAAATTCATCGTTCTTCTCAAACAATGTTTTGAAATAAATACAGTATTCATTCTCTTGAATAGTGTGAAATGAAGTGTGTAACGTATGCTTGTGAACTAAATAGTAATCCTTGCCTAGTTTCAAGTATATTAACTTTAATACCATACTGTATATGGTCTATGGTGACTGAGAGACAAGCAAATACATTTTTCTTTCTTAAGGAAATAAGTTCATAATAACGATTCAAAAGATCAATAAGTACAAAATATCAGTTCTGGAGAGAGACTATACGAGTGATTCCTCACATTAACATTCATCAATGCGCGTGAGGTATTTTTCACTACAGCCGTGTGTTTGCATAATGGATTTTAACAGAGTTTAAAGTTTCGTCTTTTGTCGATAAAACTTCAAAGAAGGTTTATGGGATTTATTCAGACGCTAGACCATAAAATTTCTATGCATTTGACAGACAAAAAGGTTTCCTTGGGACAAATAGTCGAACAATATGAGTGCAACCCGTGATATAGAGCTTCCTTTGAGGTCAATAATTCATTTATTACACCAGTAATTTCAATGGGAAAAAAGAGGAAATTCTTACATGCATCAGACAATGAAATATTGTCATCTCATTGTAGTAATTACCTGCATCAATAAATTTTTGAATACAAAATACGGTCCTTGTTCAAGGTTGCAGATTCATGATGAGGAGGATTGTAAGCTAAAATTCTTGTATTCAAACTGGATAAAGCGCAGATAATTCTTCTCGCCTTATAACGTGCAGAGCAGGAGAATTAAGCTGAAAACTGTAATAGATTGATAATGATGAGTGCATCGCGCGAACGGCGAAACCAGAGAACTGATCCTATCGAACTTCAGCATTTTGGGAAGTTGAAAAACTTTAAGACCAGGAAATTGCAGCGTTGGTCCTCATCTATAAAAATTATAGCAACTTGCACCCCAAACTTAATTTGTTAACAACATTATCCCCAAGTTTTTAACGTGTTAGGGAAAAAAGCCTTTAATAAGGAAATTTTTCAATCAAGATAAATCATCTAGAAATATTATATTTCATTTTCCCCTTTTCAATCTTGGGAGATGTTCTAATTAGTAGTTTTCAGGGCAAGAACTCTTGCCAGCCTCTCAATTTTGATTTTGAAAATTGAATATGAGTATGTTCGGTAGATATTAAAATCGGATTAAAATTGAAAAACTAGCCGTTATTGTTGACTTTTGTTGACCCAAAAAAATGAGCTCAACAGAATCCCTCCCAAGTCCCTCCACGTGGACATCACCTGCACACTAAACACCCCGTTAGGAGGCAAATGCCGCCGATCAAGGAAAAGGTCCAACGACCATTCGCACTCCAACGGTCAAGTCAACTGTCGGACGATGAAAATATAAGTGCAAGAGAGGAAGATGGGAAGATGATAGGGTTAGAGAACATACCTTAATTATGAAGTCGATTCACATATATATAGAAAATGAAAATGTAAATGGGCCATATGGATTATGGGTCTTGCCCAAGCTCAAAACCGAGGCTCTGAGACTCTCAGTCGAGGCTCTATATAAGTGGATGACGCCTTTTAGCCGAGGCTACTTGTAAGTGGTTGATGCCCTTTAGCCAAAGCTCTTTGTAAGTGGTTGAGGCCCTTGAGCCGAGGCTCTTTGTAAGTGGTTGGGGCCCTTTAGCCGAGGCTCTTGACTTCTTGTAAGTGGTTGATGCCCTTTAGCCGAGGCTACTTGTAAGTGGATGAGGCTGTTTAGCCGAGACTTTTTATAAGTGGATGAGAGCCCTTCAGCCGACACTCTTTATAAGTGGATGAGGGCCCTTCAGCCGAGACTCTTTCTGGATGGTTGAGGCCCTTCAACCGACGCTCTTTTTGGGCGGACAAGGCCCTTCAACCGAGACTCTTTATAAGTGGATAGGGACTTTCACCTGAGGCTCTTGTAAGTGGATGAAGCCTTCAATCCAAGGTTCCTTTAGACTGAAACTCACGATGTCTTTTTGGAGGATTCTCTAAGTCAATGCCACGTCGGCAATGTGAGACCCTTCGTATCATGTGCGAGGCGTAACCTTACTTCTTTAGACCTCGAAATCGAGGGATAACAACTTTTATTAGACAAATGAGACTCAATAATGATTATATTTTCAATTTTAATTAGATTTTAATCACTCTTAAACATACTCTATATATGCAATTGTAGCTTTGGCCCACATGGATATGGTTGTTGCAACTGGCTCTAGACAAATGTGTGGAAAGTACTTCCGAGAAGACGTCGAAGCTCTCGCATTAACTAAAGAAGTACAAGTTCAAAGTTTACTGGTTGAGTGTGATGCTCTTGAAAGTGATCGATTTGATTTTAGTTTAGCACCAAATGCTCTGTTTTTGTATGACATTGTAGCCCTTATGGGGTCAGACACTAATGCTAAGCATTATATACTATAGTCCCCGTTTGGTGTACATTTTTGGAAAAAGAATACATTCTTATTGTTAATGTGATGGGGAATACGTGGTTGAAAAAGAAGGAAATATTATTGATGTGATGAAAAATATTATTTTATTAAAGAATGTGTGATTAAAAATGAGTAGAAGAATTAGGTGAAAAAAATAATGTGGCTCAAATAGGGCCATAGTAATATATTCCCTTCAAAATGAAAAGGAAATAAAATGACCCACTACAATTCGAAAGCTTGTGAAAAAATGTATACTCATATTTTTGTGTTAATACTTTGTTTCATAAAAAATCTTATTTAAATCTTTGCTCCCGTCGAGTAAACATATCTAGCTCCATCCCAAAACATGAGTTGTGATTCGTGGCAGTTTGTTCTATAAAGAATAATGCTATGTAGCACAATTAGTGCTATAACACAAATCTAAGTGGTACTATTTGATATGTTCAATGAAATGTGAAATTAAGTAACTCATTTAATTGTATTTCTCATTTAATACCATATTAGTGCCACATTTTTTTCTTGGTTTAAAAAATTGGCCGACAACAATTTTAGCTAACCAAAAAACTCATTTCGTGATTTTAAATTTTAGTCCACCTTAATTTCAAATCGTACACATTGCACCGAATTTATCGACTCATTTGCTCTTCAATACAAGAAGTTAATAAAAGAACAATGATCAAACAAAAAATGCACATGATAATGTGACTGAAAAATCTTCTGAAATTTTTCAAGATTCACAGCCACAATCTAACGTGAATCAACAAATACAAATCGTCACTATTCATAAATTCTTGCTACGGTTTAGAAGACGTAGAGTTGTGCCAACTCCTCCAATGAATCAGAAGTGAGATTAGGTTCAGCATTATCAAGCATCCACAGAAGATGATCAAACAAAACCACCTCACATTTGACAGAGAGATGATTCTTTGATTTTTCAACCAGAGCATTCAAAAGAGGGTGATTTAAGTACTTAGAACTTATCACATATCTTTTTCTTGTCCTCCCCACAAAAATTGTTTCATAACTATCATCTTGCATGTCATTTGCAGAAGAATCCCATTTTTCTTCTCTAGTTGACTTGGACCGCAAGCTACTGTACGATGATGTTCTTGTCAGTTGCCTTGATAGTGTCTTGCATTTCCTCAGTATCAAATTGATCTTCTTCATGAATCTTAAGTTTTTGTCTTGGTTTTTCTTTCGTTTTGGGAAGAAGAGTGATCGTAGAGATATCTTAATATATACTCAGAGTGCAAATTGGAAAAAGTAAATAAAAAGTGGTTACAAAGTCTTGTTTTTCGGTGCTTGGAATTTGTGACCCACGTGCAACCGAATTATTTCGAATGACATGAACATGCCATCTTCTTTTGGTATTTGGTGGGGTACCCATAAGCATTTAAATTATCAGGGTTATGTACATGAATCTCTCTTTCACAAGAATATTGGACAGCATTATTGGCCCTGGTAAATTAAAGAACAAAACAAGGTTTGAGGGTAATTCTTGAATCTTGGAAAATCTTGAAACCTAGTGGGGTGTTTGGTATGTAAGTAGTATGAATGATGCAGTTAGAATTGTCTACTTCGACTAAAAGTTGCAGCTGATAGGAAATGTAATAAAACCTTATACATATTACTCTCGATTAGGTCACGTAAATCCATCCAAAACACTATTCGTTTAGGTCTTGAGTAGAAGATTACTTAACGAATTAGGTATATATATATCCTCATGTTCAAGTAAAAATCAGAAATGAGACCTCTAATAACAACTTATGTTGGGAGGGAGATACATAATCAGAAGTTATAGCTGATAGGAGGGACGCAATCAAACCATATGTTAGCAAGGAACAAGTGTGAGAATCCACTCGATTAAGGATTCCCTTACAAACTGGTACCCCCTCATGTTCAGGCTCTACATCACATCACACTGTATTGAATAATACAACATACAAGATTTGCACCCATTTTCCCGAAGTATTTTAAAATCAAATTTCCCAAATATGCCATAAATTCGTCGTACATAGAATTGGAGTTTTCATGACTGCATTAAAGAAAGTCGGGGAAGGCTTTTCACGACAGCTAATTATATGGTATAGTAAAATCGAATGTCCTAGAAACTTGTGCATCTGAGTTGATATACTACCTTTTTAGACAAACAATATTCACTCAACATAGAATAATGCTAAGTAGGAACATTATCTGAATGCATATATACCACACTTGTCTGAAGATGAGATAAATGATAGGATGTGAAGTAAATCTCTTCGGGGAAACTTCAGGTGCCTCTGTCTATGCATCCATGATACCGACTTTTGATTGGAATGTGCATATATTGTTGTTTAGATTATCACTCAAACGGATTTGGCAACACCCACAATGAGCTTTATAATTTCTGTCCATTGTGGGCAAAAAATCAGGTTTGATTACTCAAAAGTTAAATAATAATAATACACGTCATTTGAATAAGGTTTGAAGTTAACTCGAGAAATTCGTGATAGTTTTCAAACTTCTAATTAGAAGTTTGTGTTCCATGACGAGTTAGTTACTTAGTGAACCTCTGATTATTTTAAAAAGATCATACTATTAAAACGAAAAATGTAATTAAATAAATAAAATTAATTTAGATGTACATTCTTAGATGACATTGTGAAAGTTGTGTGTCATTGATTGTTTAAAATATTGTTAAAATTAATGTAACTCACAAGAATGTCATCCATGATGTCAAAGTTAATATACATGTAGCAAGATTGAAATAGATACGGGTACGGAGACAAGAGAATTGACCTTCCACGTGCTTTTCTTATTGCAATCAACCATACAAGCCCACTTGAGCCTATTCATACAATTAATTCACCCAAGTAGATCTATGTCGGTCTCAGCTTCAATCATTGGGGCCTAGGATTGAGGCACATTGATTCCATGAACACATTCCTTCGTATAATGGTCGAATATTTTTTACTAAATGATTCTCTTGTGCATGTGAGATTCAGGGCACAGCTAGTGCTATATAGTGTCTTTTAAAACAACCCTCGTGTTTAAATGGCATTATTGAATGATCGAATATGAAATCTTGAATAAACTATCAATGATAAGGTGACTCAAATTAACAAGGACAAATATAACAAATTTGAAAAACTAAACGGGTAAACTCGATTAGCATTCTAACAATAATGACTCTTCATGCTCATTTCAGAAGATATAAACTTGTTTAATTACTTTCTAGCATGGAGAATATGATTGCTAATGTAGTAGATTAATGAAAATGCTTAGCTTCAAAGCAAATATAGAGCCCTCTGTACCTTGCTTAGAAGCAAATTCAAAAGCTGGCAAATCAAAAACAACTCAAGGATGCCACAGAACCTCCAATATTAACCCAAAAAAATCAACACAAATATCACTGGCAAGCCAAACCAGACCATGAACGCAGTGTGAACAAGATTCCAAAAAGCCGGCCGGAGCCTAGATCGGCATAGTAAAATAAAGGGCATGAAAACCATAAATTTTCAGTTCACAGCAAATATCGTGAGGCATTCATTATCATTAGCTAACAACTCGACCGGTGTTGAACAAGGTAGTTCAGTATCAATAATTTCTTATCAGATGTTAAAACCAGAATTACGAATTAGATTCATAAACAGAAAATATGCACACACTAGAAACTGAGTTATACAGAATTGTAGAACAAGCATGACGTAAATCCATGACCCGATCAATGCTAAAAGGACACTGACCTGCAAATGTTAGTATGATCGTTGAGTTTTTTCAATGTTCATCAGTTCTGTTTTCGATTAGTGGAATTCAAAGATTTCAAAATATCCAGAAGAGGAAATAAGCTCCACAAATTGTATTACTTTCTTATCTTCAGCTCTCCCTTTTCCCAATATGATCTGCTAATCTGGAATATTTTGTGCGCCCTTCCGCTCTTTGGCAGCATACAGACTTCAGCAGTTTATGAAAAACCAAATAAATGGGACAAGGCAAGTGGGTGGAATCATGCCTACATCAGTCCAACCACATGTCTATTGAGATCAATGTATTTAATAAATTCAGTTCCTTCTGCCACGATCACTATCATGGTAATGGATGCGATCATCTTTAGAACTTCTTGTATAGGCAAACCTTTCTTACCTCTCCGTTTGTGACCATCATGCGTCATTCTGTTATTTGACTCTCCTCTGATGTCCTGTCTACTGTTATCATAGCTCACTTCATCCCAGTGGCTCCCTCGAAGATCATCATCAGAACTCCTCTTTTTAGAATCTCTTCCATTATTCCTGTCTCCATGCCAGCATCAACATGCCTTTCTTTCCACTCTCTCTCATCTCGCTTGTATCTATGACCAGCATCTGCATGGCTTTTTTCATAGTCTCGCTTCTCTCCCTTATCTTTATGGCCAGCGGCATCAGCACGTCTTTTCTTATTCTTATACTCTTCCTCATCTGCCCTAATCCTGCTGCCAGCACCATCAGCTTTTCTTCCACGATCCCATGCCTCTTTTGCTGGGCAATCTCTCTCTCTTCCTCCATATGGACTCGTCCAACATCGTACATGCCTCTCGTCTTCCCTATGATCTTTGTTCTTTCCCTCCCATGCAAGTCATGTGAATCCCTTCTTCTTTCATCCTGATCTTTGTGATCATAAGAATCCTCTCGTTTCATATGTTGTTTCTGGTCACGATTTTCAGCTTTATGGTCTCTTCTCGTCTCACTTCGTCTGGGACTTCCTGTAGTATCTTCATCAAATACCATTTCAAACCTTGAACAGATAATCAAGAGAATGTTGGAGAATACCAGGAGACATTTCCAGATCAATGTGTTATCAACCTCGTATTATCAAGTTTTCAGAAAAATGAAAAATCTTGTATTATCATCTCCACCGTGTTGAATGTTATCATCCTTCAATACGTACTTTAAATGTTGCTGCTTGATGGTGGGATCCACAGTGCAGTCTTTAGCAACGTGATCAAGAGAACCACATTTGAAGAAACCTCCTCCTGCAGTGAAGAATATAAAAACGTAACAGATAGGAACATACTGGATCACAATAAAAGGACTAGAAATAACAGATAAATGCTCATGGAGTAGAAGCTTTAATTAATTTGAGCATCTCACTCGATCACAACATGCTGCTAATTTTATATGAAAATAGTAAACTGCATATCTTTTTAAATTCTATAGTTGCATTTCAGAAAAAATCTTTTCTCTGAAGATTGTTATTTTAGGAGAAACCAAATTTCTCCATGGGCTTCAAACATCCTCATTGCTTCCTCCAACTTATTGGCTGTAAGAGGCGACACCATCGTGAAATACTAGTTGGGTCCTGAAGTGTGAAGAGGAAGAAAGAGAACAGATGCTGGACAGGAGTTTTGAATTTTTGTAGGTTAATTAAATTGCACATTTCAAGAAGACTCAGACAATTTGTCAACAACACTTGGTCAGTTGTTGTCTTAGCATTTTTTCAAAGAAAAATCCACACAAGGACACAGTTTTTCCCTCTCAGATATTTTTTGAGAAGATAACACGGCAACCACAACCACATCTAGCTAACGACCATGTCAGATGAGATCAAAGGGCGCAAGGGAAAAAGAAAGGAGATGGAGCAAATCCAACATTATAGTTATCTTGGTAGTGATTCTTTATTTTTATTATTCAGGGGCTTAGACTTTGATCTACTCATTATTGACAATAAACTAGAGTACAGATCAAATGTTACAAAAAACTTGGAAAGTAAGTTTTCAAATCATAAATCTATTTGGGTAAACGTGGAAATTACATGCTTGACTATGTAATGTCATGGCGAGTTATTTCAGTAGCAGAAAACTTCTATAGTGATTTATTACCTCATCTTTTGATTTTCCTTCTGGTGAAGCTTCAGGAATGAACTCAGCTAGTTGGTGAGGATCTTGAAAAGGATCATCCAATATATATGTGTGCTTGATTCTAAGTGAAACATTGATTTGATGGGTTAGAAGAGAGAATTGCTAAAACATAATGAACAAATTACTGTATAAAATTGAAAGATTTAAGCAATAAATATAAAGTGGACCTAATATTTTTGTAAGGTCTGCCCTTCGCATCCACACATGCTTAATTTATTCTGGTAAGTGTATCTAGACCTTCCACAACCTCCCCAAATACCTGGCGATTCAAATCAAAATTTATTATTCCAAAAGGCTGGAAGAAATTGTTTGGACAAAAATGCATCGTGTGATAAATATTCAATATGAAATGTTTCGTCCCGAATTGGTTAATTACCCCTACATCTTCAGGCAAGCAACCAAAATTCTAATTGCCTAAAATCTAAAAAATACCAACATACTGCACAACTTTCTTTTTCTCTCTATTTCTTTCTTTATGGGAGGGGAGAGAAGGGTAACATACTATTCGAAGGTAAATAATTGACACTCAAAATGAAATGTTTTTTAGATCTCAAAAAGCTACAGAGATAATAGAGAATGTACATATCATGACTTCAGCAGAACAAATCAAGTTCATCCTGCACATAAAGCCAGTAAATAGGCATTCTTGTATTCCTTTTTTACTTTATGGTGGAGGTGGATAGCAAAAAAAA